TTGCAGAGTTTCTAAGTTTTTGAACTAACGCTCCTAGCCCTGACATCTTTAATTGAAACTGAAGCGGAAATGCTCCCCATTAAAACATCAAACGGAAGTGCCTTGAGTCAGGCCAATTTGCTAATCATCACAAAGTTCTCCTCTGCACATCATGGGTCTTTGACAACATGTAACCTACAATGACAATGAAGGGAAAAATGTGTTTGTAATGACAATAAAGATGGAAGCTATGAAAATCATCAGGAGCATCTGAATTCAAAACAACGAATATAAATCATGTCATTTGCATAGAAATGTGGCATTGCTACTGATATTGGTTAAAATTCAGAAGTAGATGAATAATGAACACAATGCCACTTTTTAAACTATAAAATAAAAACCTAATGACTTTTATCTTTCAGAAAAAATCTCTCGGAGTCCTTAATAAGAGAAGAAGAACAGAAAATAAACTGTGTACTGAAGACTTTCAGTCACAGTCTTTTTTTCTTTTTTTTTTTAATGTCAAGAAATGACTATCTAATCAGTATCTGTGATAATGATCTGTAATCTTACCAGCGTGAGATTGATGATAAATAGCAAGTACTGATTTTTTAATAACATGAAGAACAGATACGCAACACATTTTCAGGTAGGAGTCATCCAGTCCTCCTTAATGGAAAATCGTTACAGTCCAGCTATTGTAATATAATTCAAATAAAATCTTTTTAAGGTGTCATTTTAATGCAAATAACTTAGCAGCAAACTTTTAAACTATTGGTGCCCAAAGCTTATTTTTATCTAAGTCTCAGATAGTAAGAATGTTTGAAATAATTGAGTTCTTGTCTAATTACATGAAGACTAATTTAGAACCTCATTTATTTGGAGAGTCTCTGGCATAGCAGATCCATTTAAAATGACACACAAGAGCAGGTAATTAAAAATTAAACTTGAAATCAAGATGAAAAAGGCAAGACTGAAGCTGGCTTAGACTGCTCTGATTAGCTGTAGAGGGGCAGTGAAATTTGACAGGGGCTTGATAGACTGTCAAAGATGCAAAGAAAGAGGCAGGATGATGGAATGCAGCTCCCAGGGGCACCAAAGCTTTTTTGAGTCTTTCCAGTATATGTCCACTTGCAAAGCTGGCTACATGCAACTAGGAGAGATCATCTGGCTGAGTATGGAAGAGAGCTGGAGATTACCAGTCACAGAAAACCTTCCCTCATGTCCGTTGTCCCAGAAGGGAATGCCAGGCTCCTGGGTAATGAGGAAAAGGCACATTACCCACATAAGCAAGACCACTAGACACGGGTGCCCCTTGTGCATAGCAAGCTCTTTTGTATACAACACTTTTGGAATGGCTTGAGCAATGACACACAGACACACAATCAAAATGGTCTTTGATCATGCATTTTAGTTTGCAAATGCCTTTTACATACACAACAGCCCTTCATTCTCACACTAGCCCCATTTTACAAGTGGTGAAATTGAGGTCCTGAAAAGTTACGTAACAAACCTAAAGTACTAGGACAAGAAATCAAAACGTTTGACTCCAAATCCCAAAACACATCATCTCCTCATGTAGTGACACTCTTTTTTTATTCGCTCTTAGTGGATTTTTTTCTCTTTCCTCCCTCTTCATTTTCCTCTTACCTATTTTCCTCCCTTCCTTTTCCATTTCCTTGCCCATTTCCTTATTCTTGTCTGTGCCATAACTCTGCCAGCAACTCAGAGAGCACAGCTCAGCTGAGCAGACCATCTCAGATCTGAAGAGTTTGCTGATGGACCCTGAAAGGCAGAACGCGGTTCTGTTTCTACTGCAGCAAAAGCATTACCCTCTGAGAACGAGGTGAGGGCACACAGATGTACTTGTAGAGTACAGTTAAACTATGTTCATGCCAGAAAACAATAATCTGATAGATTCTTAAGCTCCCTTGGAGGGTTTGATCTATAAAAGGGCCCAAATGGAGTCTTCCATAGATACTCATGCCCCTGCTCTGAGCCCCGGAAAGCAAATTTTACCCCTGCCCCAGAAAGGCACTCAGGCTGTGTATGGGAGGGCCACTCATAACACTTCACTAAATCTGGATTCTTCTCTTTCAGATGATAAATATATACCATCTGAGCCATCAATCAAATGTCTAGGTCTCTATTTCTCTCCCAAGGACCAAGTGAACAAGTGAGCTCCCAAATGGAAGTGAAAACTAGTTACAGCAGTTTTTCTCTAAATATGGCCCCTTACCAGAATCATTAGCATCACTTGAGAACCTGTCAAAATGCAAATTCTTGGGTCTCAATCCAAATCTAATGAACTAGAGTCTCTGGGACTAGGACCCAGCAAGCTGTTCTGATAGTCTCTCTAGATTATTCGGATGCCAATTGAAGTGTGGGAAGCCTGGTCTAAATACAGTTCAGTGGAAAAGCCCTTGACTAGGAGCCAGGACTCTTGGGACTTGGTCCTAGTGAGGCCCCTCACTCACACGTGGGCTAGGGGAAATCGTGTCACCTCTCTAGCCCCGTTTCCTCCCCCATCAAATGAAGAAGTCTTATGTGGGGTGCCACGCACTCTTCTTTTGTACACATCCTGTGAGTCTTCAGGAAGGATGACACGAGGCATCAGCAAAGCACAGCTCCAGCTCAACATCACCAATATTACTTGCTCTTATTCCACAATAATCTCTTGCTTCCTTCAAGTCTTTTTTTTTTTTTTTTTTTTTTTTTTTT